CCTGCTGTGTTCATCCGGCTCTATACCTTGTTATCACTAATAAAGTGGAGTTTCTCTTTCTCTAAAAAAAGGAGTTATGCATCAGTGATTATTTTTTAAAAAAAGGGATTTGAGAGGGTAGACATGGTGAAAATCTTTCTTGTGGGACAGACCACAACTAGGTATTATCGAAGCATTCCTGATTAACTAATTCAGTGAACCATACAGGAGCAACCCCCATCCAAAGGGAACTGATGATCACAGGGAGTGATTGAGGCAAATGTTATGGATATGTTTGAGCCAAAGCTGGATAAACTCAAAAGACAAAGGAACAGGATATATGAACACACGAGCATATAAATTAGGAGCAGGTGAAGGCCACTTGCCTCCTCGAGCCTGTTCCACCATTCAATAAAATCATGGTTGATCCAATTACTCCACATTCCCACCTTTCACTACCTTCCTTGAAGATCAACCTACTTCTAATTTGAAAGTATTCAAGGACTCTAGCTGCACTGTCTTTTGAGTTCCAAAGACTCATGGCACTGAGGAAAAAAAAACTATTCTCTCTTTTAAATGGACGACAACATATTTTGAAACAGTGACCACTAGTTCTAGATATGCTGATGGGGTGAAATGGTGTCAAATAGGATGAGGCTCATATGGAGTATGGACCTGTTGGACTAAATGGCCTGAATCTGTGCTCCAAATTCTATGATACAATACAATATAACACAACACAACAAGATATCACCAGTCACACAGGTTTCCAGAATAGCAACAATCTGTGTTAGGGCCCAAAACAGCTTGAAAAATGAAGGCTTCAATCAAAACTATGACCATGAATTTTTGGAAAGATCACCATTGTTGAAAACTGTTGCACTTGTTTCAGAACATAGGTCTAAATTTAAATGATCATTGATGCCGGTGATCAGAATAACTTCAAGCAATTTTCATCCCTTAATTTTCGATGATGTTCAATATTTTTCCCTTAAGATTTTTGTGCCTTATTGATCACTGGACTCTACTGAGAAAAGTGGCATAGGTTAGACAGTAATGGTTTATCACTCAGAGGCAGTTTAGACTGCATTGTGTCAGTGTTTGTACCAACAGAGGCAAACGTTTGACACCTGTGTCCTATTCTGCATGAACAGGAAAATGGAACCAAACAACTGAGGCAAGCTTGACCATAAGATCATAATCCAAATAATTCCAATCCACACAACATTTGAGGTATTTGTTCCCTTGAAGGAAATGTTCCGATATTTCAGTTACTTGAATGTCCTTGAACTATGGTCACATCTGCCCTTTCAGGTAGATGTTCAAGGGTCAAGGGTCATCATTTGCGAGAACACCCAGCTTCTCCTCTTCAATCTCCTTGCTAACAGTTAACAGGTCTCCTTCGAAAAAACACTATTTTAGAGAAGACAGTTCAGCTGGTCATTGATCCACACTGATGTGCCTGGAATCTCCCTCATCCATTTGCCCTCATTGGACTCCAGAAGCAACTCACAATGTGAAAACGTGCTGACAAGGTTATAGGACACTAAGTGCTTCCTTTATCTTCGTCCCAAATGAATCACAACACGTTCTCAGAAGAAGAAAAAAAAATTAGTGTCTCTAAACTCACTCAGAACAATGGAAAGTTACACTATCCTAATTCTAAGGTTAAGAGTCATGTTCTCAGATTAAAAAAAGAGACAAATTCAAGACTGGTTGGTAATTTGTGCAAAGCTGTTGATATCCTTCATGAGTATTTCAAGTGCAGGGAACTCGTGTGTTTTGTAAACAGTCTGTAGCAGTGGCAGCAGGATTGGTCAATCTGCCTGGCTGGGGACCCAGGTAAACCTCCAACCTCCCTCCCCATCACGCTGTACAAAGGCCTGGCCTTGGCAGAAGGTGTGCGTCTTCACATTACGGTGAGGATTGAGCGAGGTGGAGAAGGCCACGTCCGTTTTGTTTGGGGCCGTCTTGCATGCCTGGAACGGCGTTGCTGCAGGCTGGTAAAGTGCATGGATCGGGCGAGAGGGTGCCGAATAATAGGGGCAGGAAGAGAGCTCGCTTGTGCAGGAAGTGTTCAGTGGACAGGAACTGGCAAGGAAATTCTCCAGGACTGTAGGATCCTGGCCGTAACCTGCTGGCGTTGCATAGTCCGTGCTGTACTCGGTCACCTTCAGTTGATCACTGTTGTAATCAACCAATGTCTCAGAAATAATGGCACTGTAGTTAGCTGAAGAACTGTCATCAATAGTGTTGGCATCTTTTAATCCTAAAGTCTTGAGCACCCAGTTTTCGACATAGGGAGTACCATGGTCATCTTGGGCATTATGGCTGCTACTTCCATTTTTACAGGTTGGGTTTCCTCGTCCTCTCTTTGGGAGGCTCTCTGCTGCTGGTTTCTCTGCAAAGAAATCTCCAGCCTCCTCCTGCTTCTGAAACAGGCGCTTCTTACATTTGAAGATCCCTCCATTCTTTTGCCCATTCTGAATCAATAATTTCTGTTAAAATGAAAACAAGGCAAGTTTTTTTTTTGCAACTTTGAAGAAAAAGATGACTTTTAGAATCTTAAAGTCTGCTTGCGTTTTGCCAGCAAAAGGAGAGATTTCAAAGGGCTACAATATAGGAAATGGGGAACCTAACTTATACACAACAACTTCCACAGACAGCAATATAAAAATGACCAGATAATTGATTCAAGGATGAATATTGGTCAGGACACTATGGTCTTCTACAAAATTCCTCTTAGGTGTTTTTTTTACATCTAGCCAAGAGGACAGATGGGGCCTTCGTTTAACAACCCATCCAAAAGACAGCACCATGGACAGTGCAGCATATTCTCCTTCAATATGCTATTGAAGTTGTTAATTTGGCAACGCCCTCAAGTGGTACTTGAACCCACAACCTTCTGGCCTCAAGTCAAGAGTGCTCAATAGTGAGGCACAGCCGACACTAAAGTACATTCGCTGCTAATAACAGTAAGGTATGTTTGGAACAGTCACAACCCAATCCCTAATGAATTGGAACCCACAACATTGAACTACCCCAATCAGGTTTATTAGATTCATTAAAAATCAGATGACCAAGATGCCAAGATCAGGAAGGTTAAAGTTTCACATTAGCACAATAGTGTTCTTGTTCTGTAACTGCCCTGGGAGTGTTTGATAGGACATTGTAGAGAAGACTTTATTCCATATTCAATCCACTCTGCAGGTGATCTGGGAATATTTTTTACCAACACTAAGCCCCAGCGCTGATAAATTGTGGGTGAACATAAATAAATCACCAAAAATTAATATTGTCTTATATTTAGGGGTATCTGGTTTGGCACACAGAAGCATGGATGCATTTTGACAACCACATACCCTGGCCTTGTCCTCCAAGGATTTGACATAAGTGGAGTTCAGGTATTCTCTCAGCTTGCTATTTTCTTCATGGAGTCTAGCAAGTTCTTCCTCCTTTTGTTCAAGAGTGTCCTGAAGCTGTGGGAATAGTTACCAGAGACTTTATATTACAAACAAATTTGCTGTTGCAAGGTGCCCAAAATGTGCCCTATCTTTCTCTTGAATGTGGATCATTTAAGAATAATGATAGCAGCTTGGCCAAGGACCTTATCTTTGGGAACTCTGTCTACAATGTCTTGGGGGTGCGGTAATTGTTCTTCGATATCCTCAATCATCTTCTTGTACACCCAGACATGACCTCAGCAGCTCGAGACTTTCCACTTTAAAGACTAGTTTTCCCTGATTGCAGGCCAGTGGTAATAAGAAGTATAACATGGGATTGTCCTCAGAGCAATAAGGTTAAGATTTATTTGAGGTGTTAAAAATTTTGAGGGGCTAATATAATTAAATGGAGATATTGCTTCCACTGGCTGGAGGGGCTGTTATGAGAGAACACAGCTGTTTTTTCAAAGGGAGGTCAAAGTTTGGAACTGCCTTCCACAAACAGCATTTGGTGATCACTCAATTGTTATTATAAAACAGAGACTGATAGATTTTCATAAAATTAAAATAATACCACAAGGACACCTTCTGCAATGTCCCCGATAATGTTCTGGGGACCTGGGTTCGAATCCCACCATGGCAGATGGTGGAATGTGAATTCAATAAAATATTTGGAATTAAAAGAATCTAGTGATGACCATGAATCCATTGTCAATGGTCAGAAAAACCCATCTGGCTCACTAATGTCCTTTAGGGTAGGAAGCTGCCATCCTTATCTGGTTTGGCCTGCATGTGACTCCAGACCCACAGTAATGTGGTTGACTCAACTGCCCCCTGGGCAAATAGGGATGGGCAATAAAAGCTGCCTAGGCCATGATGCCCTCATCCCGTTACGACTAACAACATCTTAAATAAAAATGAAGTGCTGGAGAAACACAGCAGTTTTAGCAGCATTTGTATAAAGGGAAATTTAGCTAATGTTTTGAGTCCAATATGATTATTCTTCAGTAGAACAGAACTGATACAGTTTGATAGCAAAAATCTAATAAGGGATATGAGGCATGGAACCCTTTTATTCACTCATGGGATTTGGGTCTTCCTGGCTAGGCCAACATTTGTTACCCAGATCAATTCCATTTTCTTTTAAATCCAAATTTCACCATCTGCCAATTGTGGGATTTGAACCCACGACCCCAGAACCTTAGCCAGAGTTTCTGGATGACTGGTCCAGTGCCATTAACACTATGCCATTGCCTCCCTTTGATGGGTATATAGATTAGATGGCAGATCAGTGATGATCTCAATTATGAATAGCAGTCTAGATTTGAGATATTGAATGGCCTCCCCCATTGCTAAGTTCCAAAGATAATTGACAAAAGAATCCCAGGGAGAGATAAGGATATTTTGTTTACTCTGTGAAAAGCACCAAATGGATTGAGATTATCTGGATAGATCCACCAAAGATCCAGCGCATGTGGTCTAGACAGAATAGCCTCTAGCTGTGCTGTATTAATATATGTAATCTGTGCAAAAATGTAAAATGGAATATGAAAAATCAAATGTAAAGCTCTGAAGTTTGGAGTGGTGCTGTGTTCTTGAAGTATTCCAATTGGTTAGTAGGAGCCTTCCAATTAAGGCAGCCTTCACCCTAGTCCATAGAAGTATAGAATGGTTACAGCAGATGGAAGCCATTCAGCCCATTATGCGTGTTCCAATTCTCAACAAATACAACTCATCCAATCCAAGCCCCTCACTCATTCCCTGTAGCCTTGGGATGGCATTTTCTTTCAGATAACAATCCAATTCTCTTTTCAAAGAAGCAATAGGCTAAGCAATTCAAAGCTTTAGGAAAGATTCTAGAAATGTTTTCTATTTCTTGGGTAGGTAACTGGAGTTGAGATGCAGATCGGCCATTATCTAATTGAATGGTGGAACAACCTGGGGAGTCATTCTATGTTCTTGGCCCAGGATAGTGCAAGGAAATCAAGTCATTGATTCTCATTGCTCAATAATTATTAGATTTGTAAGCATTGGTCAAGAAGATTAACTGAATCGCTAAGGATAACAATTGAAGCAACAAAATACCTGTTTATTTTTATAAAGCTGAGATGATAAGTGGCCTGTCCACCTGAAGTCATCTTGGACACTTGTATCATATTCCAGGAAGTAGTCTATTGAGAAATAGAAGTAAGTCATTGAGTGATGCCAAATCACTGAGTTATACAAATTGCCCCACATCAGTAGTACCAGTCTTGCCAGACTCTCCCATATTGCTGGGCACCTCTGTGGAACTGAGATAACACGGTGTAGAGCTGGATGAACACAGCAGGCCAAGCAGCATCATAGGAGCAGGAAAGCTGACGTTTCATGCCTAGACCCGAACTCACTGCCACAGAAGGCTGTGGAGTCCAAGTCATGGAGTGTCTTTAACAGAGCGTGATTGATGGGTTTTGATTAGTCAGGAATCATGGATTACGGGAGTTGGCAGGAGACTGAGACTGGGAAACACATCAACCATGATGGAATGGTGAAGCAGACTGGATGGGCCGAATGGCTTAATGCCGACTCTATGTGTTGTGGTCGTAAAAGCTAAACAGACTCTCCCAAACTGTTGAGAGCCAGACTATACAAACTAGTAATGTTTACTTCACATCTTAGTTGTTTTTTTCGTGTTTATTGTAATAAGTTGGATATTTGTTTGATTTTGTAAATGTCAGGGATTGTGGATTGGAAAGTGGAAGCCAAAGACATTGACTCCAGTTTCTCCCAGCCACAGGCCAGCTCCGGACCCCTTTGCTGATAGAGAGGGTCCGGCTTCCCCGGAGCCCAGGGACGGGCCGACTCGGGGCTGTGCACGCTCCTCACGCCGCTTCCTGGTTTAATGTTTAGCTCGGCTCATTTCTGGAGGGCGGGTTTCAGGGGAAGCGAGACAAAGGTCGAGGTAACAGTGTGGGTGTGTAAAACAAGCCATCCAGCAAATCAAAAAAACTATAGAAAAGCTGAGCTCCAGCATTGAGCGAACGGCACTGTTTGCTGGGCTTTATTTAACCGGAGCACAGTAACCTGGGGTTTGCCAGAAACGCTCTGTCACTGCACCAGGGACATGAACCGGGGTGACCAGGCCAAGCTGCTCCCCACCGCCCCAGGCCTGGAGCTGCCTCCCTGGCCCACGCCTGTGCCTCTTACCTTGTGGCTGGGTTTCTCGCTGGCTGCTTCTGCTGTTGTCCAGGATACCGCCCGGCCACTGAGAGTACCAGGTTTCCATGGAAATGTCAACACTGGCTGACGTCGCCACTGAAGAAGAGTACTCATAGCCCTGGTCTCCTACAAAGCACTGGTCCTGGCAGGAGAGGATAGTGTTCTGGGGATGGAGGAGACAGAGGTTTGGGGGGGGGGGGGGGGGGGGGGGGGGGGGGCGGGGAGGGAGAGAGAGAGAGGGGCGGGAAGGGGGAGGCCACTCG